AGAAAACAATATACTAGGACTGTAAACATATTAAGACAAGCATTATGTGTGAAAAAATGTACTGACAATTAATTAAGGTAACAAAATCATAAAGTTTATTTAAACATTAATAAAATTGGGATAAATATTTAAAATATATTATGTCCGATTTTTTGTCATTATTTTACGAAAATAAAATATGTTTACTTGTTAAAAAACCATACACCTTTTTAAGATGGGAAAAAATAAACATGAAAGAAAAAATTAAATAAACTCTCTTTTTTTATAGTGGTGCCCTCATTTCGGCATTTACTACGTGTAAACAGCCCTCCCACGTAATTCTTTACATACGTCGCAATTAAAGCTCCCTCTTGTTTACACCAAAAGGACCCTTTTACCCTAAGAAAATATTTAAAAATAGTTAAAATTCCTTTATGGAAGTTTCCAAAACCGTACACGCGTTGGTTCCTTTGACAGCCTTTAATTAATATTAGGAAGAGTTACATTTAAAACGCCTTTCAATCTAGACCACTGGCGTGCGATAATTATTACTATACGGTCATAAAATGTAATTCCAAACTCGGTAATTTTATTAAAAAATACACGATTTATTTCTGCGTAACATCCATTGTCTGGTCCACTATCTACGACATTTTCGTCATTTTTGTTACCTTAGGCAACGACATCAACGATTGTACCAACTAAACCTATTCAACTAGCAATATTATACTGCACGATCGAATAAAACGACGTCACACACGGCGTGAGAATGACAATCTATGATAATTTTGACAAGGTCATGCCCTAAACCTTATTTACTTGACCCGTATTCTTCTTTACTTTTTAATGGTGCTTACTACCAGTTGGCCTTAGTAAGGTTGTTTTTATTTTTATATAGAGTAAAAATTATTTTTACATGATGCAGTTTAAAATTCGAGATAAAACATTTTTTTGGAAATAGATTTGTGTGCCTGGCAAGGTTCTATCCTTTTTTAATCTCTCTGTAATTAGTGTTAATTTTTAACAAGTTTTATGTGATATATTAGTAAATGACGTCAAGAGATTAACCTCGCCAAAATTATTATCGATTGTCAGTCCCCAGTCGTTTTTTTTCGATCATACGGGCCTTGTATGTAATGTATTAAAACTATTTTTTATTTTTTTATGAATACTGGAGCTCTAACGAGTCGACCCTGAAGCTGCCTGTTCAAACAGGCTTCAAAACGCTCGACTTTAATTAAAAAGAACCGTAATTAATTTCAAATAAAAACCCTGTTCACCGCGCAATCAATCAATCAACTATAATTATACAAATTTCCTTTATAGAGAAGAATGAAGAATGAATGGAGGGGGAAGTAAAAATAACAAATAAAACGTCTCCTTTCAAACGAAAATTTGTCTTCTTGACACTTTCCGGCGTTTTTTTATTTGGAGATTCTTAAAGACTTATGTCGTTTGTTGTTGAACAAAACATTTCTCGCCAAAAAGATTTTTTTCTTTTTTTGTGTTTCTTTTTGTCACCCCCTAGATCAAGCCGCTCTCTATTGTATAAACTGAATAAATTATTTTTCTAAAATCATTTGTCACGTCAGTGTTTAAATGTGTCCCTATTTTATGACGGAAATTAATTTATTAAAAGAAACATTTATTTCTTTTATTGTATTTTTTTATGGGTTTTTGTTTGTCAGTTCTTTTTCAATTTTCATCTGAGAAATATGGTAATTATTTAGAAAACAATTTTTTGGCAATTTTATTAATATATAAAGGCTCCCCAGCCGTTTTCTCGTATAGAATAATTCCTTAATAGTAAATCCTTAAGAAATCGTTCTATTACATTTAATATTATTTTTGTTTAGGAATAATCACAAGCTGCACAAGTCACTATTTTGATGCCTGTCTCTTTAGATTCCAAATAAATTTCACTCTAATTCAAGCCCTGATAGAATGTATTTTCAAATTTGTACACGTTGCATTAAAAAACTCAAAAAAGTCCCAAAAATTCGAAATACTGAAATCCAATTCAACAATACTTTGACGTTTTATTCAATTCCAATTGAATAAAACGTCAAACAAAACTGTCGGTAATTCTAATCTCTATAGTGCACCTCCGTCCTCTCAATCCATCTAATGCATAATTGACCCACATTTTTCTTCAATATCAAATCCTTAGTCTTCAATATCAAATCCCACCCTGATGAAGATGTAAACGAAACGTCGTCGTATCCAACTTTATTGTCGTATTACTCTAGATTAAAATTTAAATACTATTTATTAAAGGGAAAATATCAAAAGATGACTTATAATATTCTTTTAAGAATGTTATTTTCTATCAAATAAAGTAAAGAAAATGTCATTTCCGGTGAAACAGGAAGTGGCCGAAAATAATAGAATACATCAATTAATCCTGATTTATGTCATATACTAACATACCAAATCTCGTTATTTTATCTGATAAAATAAAAAATCACCCGATATAGAATAAATTAATAGTTTGATAAATTAACATTAATTAGCATTTATAAAGATTTTTTTCCTTTTAACTGCTGAAAAATTCTTTAAGAAATCGGTAAAAAATAAACTAAACAATTTTTCATATTCTATTTTCCTAAACTGAACTTCCTCTCTTATTTGTATATACGGCTACAAGATTCCTAAGTAATTCCATTTTGATTTACAACGTCAATTTGTTCGAAAAACAAATATTTCAGATGTTCTTATCTTCCGCCTTAGAGGAAAATACGTTCTCTATCTCGAAATAACAAACTACGTCTTGTTCTATCTCAAACAGATTTCGGTGTTTCAAAAATAAGTTATTGCCGACAGACAGTATGACAAGGAAAAATTTGAAGACAATAGATTTCGTTAAAAAAAATACTATAATTTTAATTTTTTTTTGAGATTTTAATATTTTCTACATTTAAGACGGTATTACAGAGGTTAGTTTTCCATTTCCGACATCTTTTATCTAACTTAATTAACATCTCATTGGATTGAAGCTAAGAGATACCGGCGAATGCAGATTATGTGGGGAAAATGGGGAAATACCAGAACACCTCATTACTGTATCCTTTTGAGTTGTTGAGTTCCTGCTTTAAGTTAAATTAGTTTCCACTAGAGAAGCAGAACTGTTCTGGTCAAGTTAGTGGATTGTTCGCACTTTTTCTAGCTAGCTCGTTTGCTTTTTCATTATATTCTATCCCTTGGTGGGCTGACACTCCGAGTAGAAAGAATATATTTCCTTTGCCTAATTTGTTCAGCTTCTCGAGGTATTCTTTGACCAACTGGTAACTGAGTTGATCGCTCTCAAGTAGACCTGTTCCAAACACCGGAACACCGTTGTAACACCGGTGTTGGGCTGACACCGGTGGCGAAATATGGGCTATCCGGTGTTCCGGTGTTGACACCGACACCGGTGTTGGTCTAGACACCGGTGTTCATCTCGATACCGGTTTTGACAACGACACCGGTGTTTGGTAAACGGATTAAAGAAGAAATAATGTTAATTAATAAGTTCAAAATAAACCCTGATAATAATAATGTCGTATCGGCGCTTATTTTTATCCTTTATTAAAGCGCACAGACTTTAACTTAAAGCGTTCAAGTTTAAATATATTTTATTGCTAGACTAATCACTAAAATAAAGTGGAAGCATCAGATAAACAACTATAAAGTAAAAAATTGCTTCATTAAAAACAAACAGAAAACAAAACAAAACATAAAGAAACAAAAATTCGTAGCTGTAAAATAAACTAAAAAATATTACATTAAAAAAAACTAAAAAAAAAACAAACAAACGGCATCATCGACATCGACACCGAGATCGGTGTTGATCTCGACTCCGGTGTTCATCGCGATATGCCAGTATGCCACGTATCGAGATAAACACCGGTATCGAGATAAACACCGGTATCGGTATTGACACTGGTACACCGACTGAAACACCGGTGGTTATCAACACCTAACACCGGTGTTCAAATCTCAACACCGAACAAGTCTACTCTTAAGGCTGCTTGACTATGTAAAAGATAGCTATTTCTTGTTTCCGACAAACGATCTAAGATACGTTGTACGCATGTCAATATGTAAATATCTGCTTGAAGGATGCTGGTTAAACCAAGTTCAAGAAAGTCACAATAACAACAAGCGCTATCTTTAATTCGATTTTTAATAATAATGCAAGCTGTTAGTTTCCAAACAAACAAATTTTTATAATTTTAACTAAGTATACAAAGTGTTTCTTAAAGGCATGCTAATATTTAAGGGGGTAATTCTTGAACCTATTCTAAGAGAAAATCTTCATATGATTATATGTCCTAAACATCTTAATTTCTGAGATACAGAGTGGTAAAATTTTCTAAAAAAAACTTTTTTTTTCATAGTAACTCTGATTATATTATACATATCTTTATGAAACTTGATACACGTCTTCTATGGATCAAAATACATTGTTTGGTGTACAAAGAATTTTATTTATTTCAACCAGTGCCAGTATGATTTTTTTCATCTGCTGCATAGTTTTTGCTTCAAAAAATTAAAGTCATTTTACTTCAGGGTCAAATCGCTGAAAATCTGATGCGGTGTCTCGTATAAATCATTTCTTCATCGACTGGAAGGAAATGAAGAAATAAAACAATTTTTTTGTATATCAAAATAAACATTTTGATGCATGGAAGAGGTGTATCAAATATAACATCAGAGATATTTTGAAAAAAAATAGAAAATTTTACCACCCTGTATCTAAAAATTTAAGATGTTTAAAACATATATTCATATAAAGTTTTTTTCTTATAATAGATCCTAGAACCGCCTCGTTAAATATTATCATGTTATTATGGAACACCCTGTATACATGTGTTTGTGAATAAAATGCTGCATAAGTTTTTGAGTTGTATTTTATAAACTTAAAAAGGACAAAATGCTACATAAACTACTTAAATAATAAATAACTATGAGTAACTTTTAAATGATTGTATAAACATAAACAGTCAAAATTCTAAATAAAAAAATAACATTTTACTTACACAGAACATGAAGGAATATCTGCTGGACTGCGTCTTCTCCAATACCATTACTGGCAGTACACTGGTACATTCCAGCATGATGCCTATCCACTTTATCCAGAGAAAGAACTGATGTGATACTAGTCTGTTCACCCCCGGGAAGTAAGTTGTTCTTCCTGGACCAGGTGATTTTTGGAGAAGGGTTTCCGGAAGCACGACACTCTAGGTCAACCACTGTGCCTTTTTTGACTTCAACACGACCGTTTGATGTCACGTAAGTGATTTCTGGAGGTACTGGAAAGTGAAGAAAGGGAAAAGTGAATTTAGTAAAAATTGATATGAAAACAATAAAAGTAATATTTTTCTTTTTAACTGATATTTTGGTATTAAGTGTACGACATTGGTTAGTGTTTTTATGGGTGATGCATGAGTAAAATTAAATAATCATAATAAAATACCATTAAGCAATAATTTCAGATACAAAGTATCATAATAATCAAAAATAAACATCGTCAATTTCCGTGGCACATAGCTAATTTTGTTTCTTATTGAATTTAAGACATTTTGTCCCATTTTAAAATGACACAAATGTTGCCGGTATATTTGTATTAATGCTGCTGGTAAGAACTTTGTTGCCGGTTTATTGACGGTTGTTGTTTTTTGTTAAAAAAACGCCTTTCACACGAATTCGGCACACGTTCGAGTAAGTTTCCTTTAAAAAGAAGGAAATATTAGAAAAAGGTGATGAAGCGCGACAAGCGTTACTACCACCTAAAGGTTGATTCTCACTGTACCTTCCATATCAGGTCCCTTCCCTTTCCCTTCCATTTACATAAAATATGTAAATGAATAGGACAATGCACACTATCCGTTCCGTTTCCCTTCCGTTCCATATCCTTTCCTTCCATACATTTTTTTGGCGGACGGGCTGAAGCGTATCGGGAACAGCGTTGTCAAGTTCTTACATTTGTACCAGCTCTGTTAAATTTTTGCTGATATTTATTTATTTTTTCACCACTTAATTAAATCTATTACCTTTTTCAAAAGATACTTTTTAAAATAAAACTTTCGTAATTATATAAATTATACATTAGAAAGTATGGAACTGATACGGAACGGAAGCTTACGTATAGGGCCAATACAATAAAAAATACGGAACGGATATGGAATGGATATGGAATGGAAACGGAAGGTATAGTGAGAATCAACCTTTAAAGAGAATACATTTACCAAAAATAATATAAAAAATACCTTTACAGAAAATATTGTAGCAGGGGATGTAGATAAAACTGTTTTCTTAAATTAATAGAGTAGTTAGATGCGTGTCCATTTTTATATTTTATATTATTACTTAAAAGCTCTATTATATTTCATGGCTGTTATCTATAAAAGGTAGAGGAAATTATGGCATCTTAAAAAATTCCCGTTAAGAGTGTCCCAAGGGAGTTATGACGCTACTAAGGTAGCGTAACTAAGACGAAGAAATAAAAATTTATATTTAATTAATTTCATTTCTCAAGAAGAGACAATGAACAGTATGTAGCTAGGTTCACATGCACATGGCTAAATTGCAACATGTATATTAAAAAAATGTAGAGTAAACCTGGTAGGAGGTAAATGAGTCTATAATTTTCCCACTATAAACCATCAAAAGGCGAGACAGAGACACGGGCCTTTGATGGTGCTTGACGAGGTGTAAACATTGTGTGCAGGCGTTCGGTGTTAGGTCTCAATGGCTGACGTAACAAAAGCTCCATTATACCGACGTTATTCTCTATAAAATATATATTTCTTGCCCTCGAATTATGAATAAAATACGACCAAAGAATAATAAAGCTCTGTGAAATTTTAAAAATTAATAATCCAGGCTAGACTAATACTAAAAAATATTATCATTAAATTTATGTAATGACAATAAGGTTATATACCATGCTATCGAAAAAAAACGGCGTCAAAGACGGCTGGGGAATGATAATCGATAATAATTTTGCCGAGGTCAAACCCTTACGGCGCTTACTGTCAGTTGGCATTAAGAAGGTTGTAATTTATTTTGTAATTAGTTAGTTTATCTAATTTAAAATTCCAGAGAAAACTATTTTTTGGAAATAGATTTCTGTGTCTGGAAACGTTATATCCATTTTCAATCTTTCTATAAATTTTGTTAAAGTTTTATGTCAATTTTTTAAAAATCACGTCTAGAGATCATACGGTAGTATATTACCTATAATACTATATCATTAATTCTGCGCTATACATCGATATCAGCTATGTTATAAGTCCATTTAATTTTCTCATCAATGACTGAACACAATCAAACGGTTAGAGTGTTGTTTAAAATGATAGTCACGTATACATATTTACCTCAAAATAAATAATAAATATTTTCCTTCATACAAAGGGTATAAACCTTGACAAAATGTCGAAAGCATGACGTGAATTTTAACAGTAAAAGAAAAAACAAGGGAAACTCCAACGCTTTCCTTGAGTTATGCCTTAGAAAATTCTTTAAAGTTTTGTGTTTCGCCTTTTATTATAGAATATATCAAAAACAGAGACTTCTGTAGTAAGTATTTTTCTTTTTTATAACGTGATTCAAATATAGAAGATTAAAATAATTGTCAATACAGTGTTAGAGAATTTTAGAGTTAGTGATTGGTACCGATGCTAAAACATCGGTCGAAAAACGATTGAGATCATTTTCTTTTGAAGTTTCTTTGTCTTTTTTAAAATTTACAAGTTTTGACTTTTTATTTGTAAAATCGACATATTTTTTAATGAAAAAATTACTATTTTTCAATACAACTATAGTACTAGTACTAGAATCAAACGTATAGTTGTACGATGTCAAAATACTCTTAACCAGAATGTACCAAACGAAGATGTAACAATATGATAAACCCATATAAAGGTACATTTTGCCTTTTAAATACGAGTATATAAAAAATGAAACATACCTAATATCTCTAACGTGTGAGTAATCTCTCTTGGTTCCAATGTACCAATTTGACAGACGTAGTCCCCAGCATCTTGTAAACCGGCGTCTCGTATTTCAAGGTTAAAGCCATTGATCAAACTAACCCTTGGATCAGGAGAAACCTTTACTGAACCAGCTGACAACACTGCAATGCCTTTTTTCCATGCCAATATGTACAAACCTATAAAAAAAAAGAACGCATTGTTTAATACATTTTTATAATACCAAAAATTTGTGTGAGATTTGTGTTTTTATATCTCAGAGAGAAATAACTCTAGATGTTTAATGAAACTCTAGCTTCAAAAAAGATTAAAAGAATAAAAAATCGAACTCTATAAAAGGCAATAACCAGTTAAAAGAAAGGCAATGAACGATTGGACGATGTACAGGGAATATTAAGCAAGGCTCTCCTTAGAGTGGGCGCTTTAGAGGAAAATTCGGTAAGAGCTTTTCTCGGTTTTTAGTTAAGGATGCCAATTTTAAATGGATCGAACTTCACATTTAACAAAAAAAACATAAGAAAAAGGTCAAAAAGGGCGGAATTACAAACAGATCTAGAAATTTCTTTAGTCTAGCCGATCTTGAGCTGATAGCGTGAATATTATACAGGATGTTGTTTCAAAAATATATTTTTAAAAAGAGATTATGTCTACATTGTAAATCAATAAGCAATAAACAACTGATATAATATAACTTATGATCTGTTCTAGCGGTTAATTTTGTATTTTGTCGCCTTGGGTTAATCCGCGCGAATATTAACGTTTTTCGAGATTAATTTGGCTTGACTTCTAATTTTTAGAGTTATTTTTATTTTATTTTATTACTTATAGACTGCTATAAACGTTTTTTATTCTTCTGATCTGTTTTGAGTATTTTGTGTAAAAATAATTTAATAATTAGTAGGTAGATGGTTTAGTCAGTTTAATTCTATTTGTTTAATCTCTTAAACATGGTTCTTTATACACTAAAATTTTAATAATATAGTGGGCTCAAACAGGAAAATTATTAATTTGTTATATAATTTTCTTATTTTATTTATTAATTTTAATATTTGTTTATTAATTTGTTATATAATTTTCTTATTTTATTTAACAAATTAAAAATTTTTAATTTGTGAGCATTTAAACAAATAAATAAAATAAGAAATATACATTTGGGCACGTGGCCCATCAGTATGCTGAAGTAAAAAGTAAAAATTGACTTTAATGATTGTTTGTAGTCATTTTATTATTTACAATGTAATTTAATGTATGATTTAATGCCTGATTGACTAGATAATATCACTTATAGGTATAAAAATAGATAACCTATTCTCAGACCTAGAGAATAGACTGCTCGGAAACGGCATGACCGATTTTGGTAAAATTTTATGTATTTTTAGTAGGCCTGAAAATAGGTTGTTATCTATTTTTATAACTCTAAGTGATAAGTGATATTCTACTCTCTTCTAGTCAAACAGGCGAGTAAACTTTTAATCACCTTTCTTTTATCTCACACTTCTTTCTAAATATTCTACAGCCGTCTCCTCAGCCACTACGTTCAGTGTCAGCTTTTAGATGTTTTTCAATTAAAAACTTTTCCAACTTAATTTTTCAACTGTTTAATAACTTTATAAAATGCAAGGCAGATAGGCGATCTAGAATGCAATAGGCAGATTCGAAATTTTAATATATTCTTTTATCATGGGATGGTTTAATAAAATGTCGATCGATTGATGCTCAATATGGCCTTGTCTGGGCTTGATTTTATATTGAAGGAATTTTGAAATTTATCTGGGAAGTTATTTGGTTATTTAATATTTTCAAATATTCTATATAGATTACGCCATAAAATATTGTATTAAAAATCATGGGATATACCGGGTGTTTTTCAATCCTTTATAACTTTTTTATTCTTTTCTGATAAAAAACGAGATTTGGTATAATTATACAGAGTTGTTCACCACATACGACACGGAGTATTGTAGCTAAACGATTAGATTTTTACAAATTGTAAGTTTTGGGTTCGTTGAAGAACTAGAAAAATATTTTTAAATTGTAGCTCTAATAGTTACTATTAGAGCTACAATTTAAAAATATTTTTACAAGATACAGAGTGTCCCAAATAAGTAAAAAATATTATAGTTGTATTTTTTTTAAAGGAACACCCTGTATATTATTCTATTTTTGGATTCTACGATTGAAATAAAGGTAAATTTGATTAAGGTTTATCACACTTATACCTTACCGTTTTTGAAATATTTTCAATTTTATGAAATTGCCTCGGAAATTGCAGTAAAAATTTTAAGGCTTCATTTCTCCAAGGGTGTCAAAGTTTCTAATACTAAATATTTTCTGAAGATTATTTATTCATCAGATATTGTGTTGCAATAATAAACATTTTACTACCTTATACAGAGTGTCCAAAAATTTATATTAAATAATTACTAGCTTCAAACGGCAATAACTTATTTAATTTAAATGGAACACCCTATATTTTTTACGGGAATCAGATGCACCATGTAATTGTCTATCAAATTGTATTATACCATTTTTTACTCATCTCTTCAAGTTTTCGTATAAAATGCATTTTCTTATAATTTAGACCTCATTTATCACTATATCCATGGAATATTGACATTTTAGCTTATTTTTGAAGATGTAACAAATTTTTAAAGATGTATCAAATTTTTAAAGGGTACAGATACTAATATTGTCGATATAGTGCGCTTATTTAATTAAAAAACAAAAAAAACTGTTTAAATATATTTTGTTAAAGAGGACCAATTAATATGATCCCAGTATTCAAACTACATTAATTGACTGTTTACGTTCATTAATAATAATTGCTCCAAAAACTAAAAAACTGAATTTTGTGTGTATTAGACGGTGTGGTAAAAGTTCCAATTTTATTTCATTTTTTGACGAATGCTTATTTATAAAAACAAAGACGTTCATTTTCATAACTTATTATTATATTGATTTCTGAGCCAAATCCACATTTATGTAGAATACTTTATTAATTAAAACAATTCAAAAGTATGTAATTAACTAATTTTTGGTTGGAAATAATGGTGGTATATTTAATTGATATACTCTTTTACAAAGATTTAAATAGTTTTTTTTGTATGCCAATGGGCTTGCAATATTTACCACCTGTACATTTTGTACATATATAGTGCTATAAATATTCCATGGGTATAGTGATAAATGAGGTCTAAATTATATGAAAATGCATTTTCAACTAAAACTTGAAGAGATGGGTAAAAAATGGTATAATACAATTTGATAGACCATTACATTGTGCATCTGTTTCACATAAAATATATAGGGTATTCCGTTTAAATTAAACAAGTTATTGCCGTTTAAAGCTAGTAATTATTTAATATAAATTTTTGGACACTCTGTATAAGGTAGTAAAATTTTTATTATTGCAACACAATATTTGATCAATAAATTATCTTCAGTAAATATTTAGTATTAAAAACTTTGATACCCTTGGAGAAATGAAGCCTTAAAATTTTTACGGCAATTTTATAAAATTGAAAATATTTCAAAAACAGTAAGGTTTAAGTGTGATAAACCTTAATCAAATTTACCTTTATTTCAATCGTAGAATCCAAAAATAGAATAATATACAGGGTGTTTTATTAAAAAAAACACAACTATAATATTTTTTACTTATTTGGGACACTCTGTATCTTGTAAAAATATTTTTAAATTGTAGCTCTAATAATCCTTCAATAAACCCAAAACTTACAATTTGTAAAAATCTAATCGTTTAGGTACAATACTCCGTGTCGTATGTGGTGAACAACCCTGTATATGACGTAAATCTAATTTTTGCTTTATTTGATAGAAAATGACATTCTGAAAAGAATATTTTAAATTTCATTTCAGAGTGCTATGACAATAAATAAAACGACAATTTGACGGAAATACCATAATAAATGCTTTTTTTTCAAACGTCACAAAAGTATTGATTTTTGCGACGTGATTGACAATATCAAAAAATAATTTTAACGCCTAGGCATAAAAGTAAAGCACTTTTACGCCTAAGCATAAAAGTACGAAAATATACTATTAAACTGACATAAAGTGTCAAATTCGACGAGCGTAACCATAGTTTCTCGATATATAATTATTTACAAGGTATTTCTTTAAATATCATATATTATTGGAACGTTTAAAAATTGTTTAAAAATTATTTGTGGCGTTTGAAAAAAATATCATGTACTATTGGTAGTAAAAATGACTTTTTGTACCTCGCCTGTAATGTCAAACGTACAGCCTAGCCGCAAAAAGTATAATTTTTACTCCTAATAAAACAATATACTATTTGCAAATACGCTAATGATCATTCCTTTTGAAAAAAAATTATCTACTTATAATTAATAATACGATTTAGGCATCTTTTAACTGGCCAGGAAAACACACGAAAAACATTAAATGATGAAATCTATTATTCCAAGGATCCTTGATTAAAAATTATGTTTTTAACACAGCCATGGCACTCTAGATTGAAATTTAAAGTGCTATATTTTTTCTAACTAAAATGTTAACAGTAAACATATGATATGTCATTCTATTCAGAATGTCATTTTCTTTCAAATAAAGTAAAAAAATTCCGACAGTCCCATTTAAAAATCAAAAGTTGTTACCATTTTTGTTGAAACAGGTATTGACAGAAAATAACTGAATACGTTTTTTAATCTGAAAAAATAAAAAAGTTAAAAGGGAGCCTACTTTGAAAATCACCCGGTATATCCTTTTAGATCCCAAACAAAATAATAATAGGCGGTTTATTTGTCTGTGCAAGTTATTTTTTTTTCATACAAACACTACGAGTGTCTATAAAGAGAAATATTTTTGTAAAAAATAAAAAAATATGTTTAGACCGAATTTTTAGATATTAAACCAATAAACAGATTTCTAATTTAAATAAGGCGTCCATTTTTCTCAAAGAGACGTAATATATAAATTAAAAACAAAAAACAAAAAATTAGAAAGGAAAAATAAATGAAAAAAACAGACTTAGAATTTTCTTTTTAATTAAACAGATTTCTGTTATTTTGTCTCATTTCAGGATAAATACCGCTCATATTCCTACAAATGCTATAGATTTATTATGCCTAGAAACTTTGAATTGCATCGACTATAGGGGGAAAAACCGAGTTGAAAATTTAATTTCGAGCTCCCATTTGTGGATTTCGAAGATGAAAACCCCGAACGATTATCGCTCGATCCTGTAATAAATCTAAAAGCGACGGCAATATTTGTCCTGTGGCAAAATTGCAGGTTTTTTACATCAGGAAAAAGTAGAAAGAATGCGCGGAGTGGTATCGATATTTTTCTACACTTTAAGTACAGTGTTTTAATTTGAAACTATAGAAAAATCAATAAAGGTTGGCGCACACCCAAAAAATACACACAACCCTAAATTTTCACCCTTCTGCTATGAACCCATATTTTTTAATAGCGATATTATTAATACAATAATTTTCAACCCCGGTCGATAACTAATCAATTATACCGGTGTCACTTCTGACAGCACATCAATAGCACAGAGGGGATGAGATATCTCTCTCACACAATAAGCTAGAGGTGGGAATTCTAGTTCCTTGGAAGGAACTAGTTCCTTAGTTCTAGTTCCTCCAGAGGAATCGTTCCTTGAACTAGGTCTTTAGTTCACAATAGTTCCCGACTAACATTGACATCTTTGCTTGCTAATGCGTTTCGTTGTCAGTCAAAACTATATTCACAGTATGATCTGTATAATTTTTATAATGTACGGAGATATAACGAGACGTGTAATTGTGTATGTTAAAAACATATAGGTAGGTTTTATTGCAGATAAAAAAAATAAAAAAAAAACTGAAATCAGAGTTTAAAAAACTATATCACAAATCAATTGGAGCAAATATTACAAAAATTTTGCGAAAAATTGCATATTTCCTCACTTCAAGCTTTTTGTTTTTGTCTAAAAATTCAGAATATCTACTTCGTTTTATAAGATATTTCTTAATTTTAGGGACCTAAAGTGAAACATTCCCAAAAAATATTGAGTGAACGAACTAGTTCCAATGAACTCTTCCGACCCCGGAATGAAAGGAACTAGTTCCTGGTTTCTCAAAGAACTTGTTCTTCAGGACCTATTCCGGGATCGAGACGGTGACCGATATATAATAATATGCGACGACGATCGATCGGCCAGCGCGCGTAGCCCGATGGTAGGCAGGAGTAAAGAGTGCCAGCCGTACGTTATCGGAACCGGACCTAGAGGAACTAAAGAAAATAAATAAAAGACTAGTTTAGTGGCAGGAGTGGGGAGTGCCAGCCGTATGTTATCGGATCCGGACCTAAAGGAACTAGAGGAACTAAATAAAGGACTAGTTTACGTATGGATCAGTCAGCGCGATTGATGCTAGGCAGGCGTGGGGAGTGCCAGCCGTATGTTATCGGATCCGGACATAGAGAATCTAATTAAAAGACTAGTTCACGGGAATCTATTCAGTCGGCAGATCCGAGATATAATACAAGGCGACCACGATGGATTCGGCCTTGTCTATTGCCACAGCCCAGCCGGCGTAATTACCACAGAAAATTGTCGTGGATACTGTTTTTGATTTTTAGTTTGTTTTTTAAATATTTTATGGGAATGTTTCGCTTTAGGTCCCTAAAATTAAGAAATATCTTATAAAACGAAGTAGGTATTCTGAATTTTTAGACAAAAACAAAAAGCTTGAAGTGAGGAAAAATGCAATTTTTCGTAAAATTTTTGTAATATTTGCTCCAATTGATTTGTGATATAGTTTTTTAAACTCTGATTTGAGTTTCTTTTTTATTTTTTTTATCTGCAATAAAACTTACCTATATGTTTTTAACATACACAATTACACGTCTCGTTATATCTCCGTACATTATAAAAATTATACAGATCATACTGTGAATATAGTTCTGACTGACAACGAAACGCATTAGCAAGCAACGATGTCAATGTTAGTCGGGAACTATTGTGAATTAAAGACCTAGTTCAAGGAACTATTCCTCTGGAGGAACTAGAACTAAGGAACTAGTTCCTCCCAAGGAACTAGAATTCCCACCTCTAGTTCATTTCTTGCAAAAACTATGTACATATTTCGTAATTTCAATTTGTATATAATAAGTATAGATAATAAAGAAACATATACTTGAACATTATACAGTATCTACTTACCAAGGTTTGTCACTTCGCAAGGCAGCACAACCCTGTCATGCTCCTTCACTTTGAACACTTGGCTGGAGGTGAGGAAGACCGGCAACGTTGCCGGATCCACTTTGATGTTCGCCTGAACGGTTTCTGCAAAACAACATTCAATAAATCCAAATCGGAATATATCGGAATATGGGCGAAGGTTGAACAGCTGAAGGTTATTGCATTAATTTTATCGAATTTTCGAGGGAAAAGAGCTAAAATATATTTTGGTTTTTAAGATATATTTTATATTTTACTTAAAACTTTTCACTTAATCTGCAGGAAATATGTCAGCTATTAAAAATGTCAGCTATGAAAACATTTGCAAAACATTTCGGTGTAGAGGGTGTTATGATAAATTGTTTTGGAATAAACAGAATTAATTCTGAGATGAGAGAAACATGATAAAATTCAAATTAGTTTTTTTTTCTTAACCAGAGGCATTACATTTTAGTTTCATGTACACTTATTCTTAATCTAAAAACAAGGCGACACAGTGAATCTAAAGCTTCCCCCTACAAACTGACTAATTACAATCCTATTTCACAGCTACGAAAATCTTTTTCGCACCCCATTTTGAGGTTTGTTTACACAGAGGGTGACTCTACCCTTGTTTTAATTCTGCTTCCCCTTAAATATCTTTTTTGTCATTGCAGGAATGGCCTTATCTGATGGCAGAAATGGAAGGGGTTTTATCCATGGGAATGTTCTGAATACGCTGTTTATCTATGACAGAGCTATACAGAGGACTTATAAATATCATGCTTACAGAGGTCTACTTTGTTTACGGGGAATCCGGACCGGCCGTTGTCATTGTCAATAGCCTACCGACGAGTCTCTAAATCGACTCTTATGATATGACAATATAGATCATACCAAATAAACTCTTAGTCACGTGGTTAAGCTTGGCCGGCACAGCGTTGCCCACTTTAACATATTTTCTTTTAATCAAAATATTTTAGGAAACAAAAATAAACTGATTATAAATATATAATTAGTTATTATTTACATCAACAAAACTCACCTCTTTAACAGCACTTAAGTGACATAAAGGGTCATTACTACCGTTTTCCCATTCAAAATATTTTTAATATAGTAGCGATGAATGTTTTACAACGGCTAATAAGCTATCTTGTACACTTCGCATTAAAAGAGGTTCCCCAGCCGTCTTTAACATCGTTTTTTTGGTATTTTTGATCTTTAAGGTTATTTTACTGTAAACTATAGTTATAAACAACAAAGTCTAACAAAAATAAATCTATTTACAAGGTACCAAAGGAAATTAATTACTGAAACAGCATAAACATTATTTGCAATATTATTGCAGCATGCCTGACAAGGTATTTAGTTTATAAACTCCCGAGGACTAATTTACTAGAATCCACCTCTCTCCAGATTTGCATATCCAGACGACAGCTACATACTCTCATACCAAAACAAAGTGTCAAACTGAATCTAAAATATGTGTCTCTGTCATATAATTTATTACAATGACATAAATATTCCAATTAAAAAATATTTTGACATATATTTTTGATGTATATTAGCACAGTTTTATGATTTTTTTATATTTGTCTGAAACAAAATTCTAAATAAATAAAATAAAATCGGGTAAGTTACACCATTTATAACTTAAGAACTGCTGGACCGATTTTAATTTACTATGATTTGTTGGATTCGTCTCCGCCACGATTAATAGAATAAATAAAATTTTCAGAAAAAATTACAAAATATACATTTTTTTTAATACCTAAGTTATATTTGGAACTCACATGTTAGCGGTTAGTGACATAGTGACAAACCAAAAATAGTGGGAAAATAGCATATTCAAATCCAGAAAGATATTGAAATATACCGGGTGCGTCTCAAAAGTGGCTCACCCCTATAACTTTTTAATTTTTTTTAGATTATATATAATAACTAGCGTGTACCAGCGACTTCGTTCGCGTCGAATTAATCATTTGTAATGGTGATGATAAAACAAAGCAAGAATTTCCATTAACAAACAAACTAAATATATAAAATTTTCTCACATTTATGTCAGCATGAGAAAAAACAATATGGCGCTATTATTATATAACTTGGTAATATTTGAGGGGTAGTTTCATCTCGTTGGAATTTGACTTTCGAAAAATCCGTTTGCCGTTTACCAAAAACCAAAAATAAGCTTTTTACGTCAAACAGTTTAAGCAGAATCGTGGTTAAAAAATTACCCAAATTTTTGGAACACCCTGTTTTTTTAAAAAAATTTCAAAATATATAAAAAACCAAATAAATTATGCTTGTCCAAGCGTTTTCCCGAAAGACTAACCGTTTTTTAAATAACAAATATTGTAATATTTGAGGGGCGTTTTCACCCTCTTGGAATTTGAGATTCAAGAAACCCCTCCTTATCGAACCTCTACACCCCACAGTCAATCCGTTTACCAAGAATCAGCTTTAAACGTCAAGCAGTTTAAGCAGAATCGTGATTACTCAATGGTCATATTTTATGAAACACCCTGTATAAATTTATATAAAATCTTAAAATATGTAAAACAACAAAATAAAATGTACGATACAAAAATAAAATATACGAGAGTTTTTCCGAAAAACTCACGGGTTTTTAATTAAAAAATATTTTAATATTTGAGGGATAGTTTCACCCCCTTAGAATTCGAATTTCGAAAAATCCCTTCTTATCGAACCCCTACACCCTAAAGTCAATCTGTTTTCCAAAAATCAGCTTTTTACGTAAAGCGCTTTAAGCAGGATCGTGATTGATCAGTGACCAGATTTTTCGAAACACCCTGTATACATTTTTTGAAATCTTAAAATATGTAAAAAAACAAAATAAAATATACGTGTTTAAGCGTTTTTTCGGAAACTTGACCGTTTTTTAAATAAAAAATATTGTAATATTTGAGGGGTGGTTTCACCCTCTTTGAACTGGAATTTCGAAAAATCCCTTCTTATCGAACCTCTACACCCTAGAATCAACCTGTATGCCAAAATTGAGCTTCTTACGTTGAGTGGTTTGAGCAGGATCGTGATTAATCAGTATGTAAGTCACTTAAGGATTTTATATATTAGTATAGATTTTCATTTTTTATGTTACCTATAAATTTTTCATTTCATGTTACCTATAAAAGCAGAGGAAAGTATGGCATCTTTCCCGTTAATAATATCCCAGGGGAGTTGTGACTCTATTTATGGTTAGCGAACTCAAACGACAAAAGCTTATATAAATTCAGTAAGAAATAAAAATTATAACACACCACTTACTGAAAATAAACCTGGTAAATGTCTGGCATATTAAACTATGCTGCTTTTAAGTAATTTTAATAGCATTCTGGACCGGCATGCATACATAGAGAAGGCTCTGGTGAACCCGAATTCCGTATTCCACTAATATTAATGTCTACACCGCCGGAATGACCTTTAATAATATAATTTTACATTGTCGGTTCGAAGTAATTAGTGAAGTAGGGCGCCTGGCCCTACGATAGTTCTCCGGCTAGGTAGGGGACAATAATTGTGTTAGATCTTTGCTGGGCAAGGGCGAGATTGCGGACTTTCCGCAAGGAATGTAAGATGAATTGGCGTAGGGCTCTTGTTGCTAGGCGCCGGTGATTTGCAACTGGTACAGCTTAATTTTGCCGAAGCATAATACTTTATAAGGCAAAGTTAATTAAAGTACTTGAAATTGTCTTTCTACGACTTGTTTTATTTGCTGTTGTAACTTACCGATACCGATGATTGTCGATGTAAATACAGTATAGCGCTCCAGGTGTTCCTCGTGTTAGGCGTTTTCATTTTTGATACTAGAAATTAAAGAAATTCCTGATTTAGGAAAATTTTGTAAGGTCTTTTTGAAGTGAAATTTCTTTACGCGCGATGGGAGTAAAAATTGTAAGCCGTGACACACGAGCCATGACCTTTGCCATAACACAAGAGCTCGCGAGAGGAAAAGTGATAAAGACCTTGAAGCGTCGTAACTCGGGCCCTATGTCAACTAGGGGACCGAAACTCGGAACGTAAGGCCAACTTGACCGTGTACGACACGTGTCATTGTGACAGATAATTTTGACATAAGAAACGTCAAAAGCTGATCGTCCTATCGCGACCAAATTTGATGGGTAGGCTATGTGAGTAGCGGTGCACACGATCCAACTCTGCAATGTTGGATACGACGTTTCGTTTACGTCTTCATCAGGATGTGACTAAGGATTTGATATTCAAGAAAAATGTGGGTCAATTTCAGCATAATTGGGGACGGGCTACAGGATGACCCCCTCGACGTGTCGAACCAATGCCTCTAAATGGATGAAATCATCAGGATTTTTCTCTTAATTCTGTATCAATTGGAACCAAACTCGGCACATGTATACATACGTATATACATACTGCCATTACTCGCTGACGAGTATTTGACAGGCATCGGAAGATTGTCGCGCAGGGCGTTTCCTATCATGAGTTGTTCTGTGACTGAAAAGCCCGATACGTGTTGTTATCTGCCTACCGCACTCCGGACATTCAAAAATCTCATTGCTTTGTTGCCACTTTAATTTTTGGTTGTCGCTCTTAACTGAATTTACAATTCTTCTCCATTGAGTTCTATAGTGAGCTGCTTCTTCCCACTCATTCTGCATGTTAATTCCCTTTAAGTTTTCGTGCAAAATGTCCTTGTATCTTTTGAGTTGTCCACCCGGCCTCTTCTTACCGTCTACAAGCTCACCGTAAAGCAGAGATTTTGGTATTGGTCCAATTGATGCCAGTGACCTGATCTGGGATGTTTCCAGGTACCTTTAAACTTGTCCTTCAACATGAACCACGTATTGGTGATGCACAGATTATACTCTGTGCATGTTGTTAATAAGCGTTCACCATTCCTATTTACGTTCCCTATTCCATGTTTTCCCAATACGTCAGGCCATATTTCCTGTTGCTTACCAACACGAGCATTAAAGTCACCTAGCAAAATGATTCGTTCGTGCTTTGGAATTCGTTTTAGAGCATTTTGTAGAACTTGGTAAAATTTATCCTTATCCTCAATTTTAGCGTCTAGGGTGGGAGCGTAGGAACTAATAATGTTGACGTAAGTTTTGTCTGATACTCGGCACATG